GTCCCCGTGGCAATGGTGAATAAGATGAGCATGTTTCATGGTACTACGGCTAGAGGATGGAAATGGATGGACATGTTTTTCTTTCTGATGAATCCACGTCCCACTTATGAAATTACATTCTTGAATAAGTTGTCGTATGAGTACACTTGCAAGTCTGGGAAATCAAGCCATGAAGTAGCTAACTACGTACAAAAGGTTATCGCGGAAACTCTCTCTTACGAGTGTACTATTTTTACCAGGAAGGATAAGTACATAGCTCTTGCAGGAAACGATGGCACAGTTATGAAGAAAAGTTGAATAAGCTAAAAGTATAAAGAAGTTTTTATTAATTTGATCAACAATAATGTGAAAATGTTACTAACATTATAAAAATAATGAAGGTTGCTTACTCTACTCTACAATTCCACCTTAAAGTTATTATTGTAATTTCAATTTCTGCTTTGGTTGATGATTTGAGTGATCCTGTTAAGGTAACTAAAATTAGGTTTATATGCGGCCCAGATTCAATCATTTATCTCATCAAAGATAAACAGACGAGAGAAGTATTGAAAACATCCTTAAACTTGATACAAATTATTAATTTCGTCTTCCTGAACTATTGATGGTCTTAAAAATACCTCTCTACTTGACTAACTTAACTTAAATACACACTCCGATCTACCATATGACATAGTAAGTGGTCTCAAACTCTTGTAGGAGCATGTGACTCTTAATAAAAAGTCGAGATAAGTGTTGAAAACTCCTCTAAACTTGGTGAGAATTCAGGGGTGTATTTCATTCATGTTGCAAGATTGGGTGTGTATTTAAGTTCAATTAGTTGAGTAAAGAGGTGTTTTTAAGGCTGTTAATAGTTCGACACTGAGTTTATGGGTGTTTTCAATACTTCTCTCTGAACAAAATAATGAGATTTTTCGTTACTTGTCTCTTTCGATACGTAATTAACTTTATTAATTTAATTAAATGAATTGGACTAAGAGCTCACATGTGCTAATTTCTATCTTTTCGTAGGCTTAACTAACCTACATTATTCCAAAGAAGCATTAATAAAAAGAATTCAACAATTTGTGCCAATTATTAAATGCTAGAGATGTCAAACAATGTAGCTTTACCACGGGCTTAGTGTTATAGCACACAATATAAGTGCATAAATGTATAAGTTATGTAATGGCATAAAATAGAAAAATAAAGATTACACAAAGAGTAAATTTCAAGCATATTAAAATGGGGATAACAACATCTCCTACTATTGAGAAATGCACTTTGGAAGGTCGAGCAAGAGATACAATAGTTGCTAACTTGGATGGAACTTTACTACGAAGTAAAGCTACTTTTGCTTATTTCGCGTTGGTAGCATTCGATGTTGGTGGGGTCTTAAGGTTACTATTTCTTCTCTTAGTTTCACCTTTTTTCAGTATTCTTTACTATTTCATCTCGGAGTCTGTTGGACTCCAAGTTATTATCTTTGTAACTTTTGTAGGGATGAAGGTCTCCGATATAGAATCAGCAGCACGTGCTGTGCTTCCAAAGTTCTACTCTGAAGACCTTCATCCCGAGTCTTGGAGAGTATTCTCATCATGTGGGAAACGTTGTGTTTTGACTTCCACCCCTAGGATTATGGTGGAACCATTTTTGAAAGACTACTTGGGGGTAGAAATTGTTTTAGGGACCGAGATTGAAACATATAAAGGTAGAGCAACTGGCATTGTTAGATCGCCCGGAGTTCTTGTTGGGAAGAACAAGGCTAATGCTCTTAGAACGACTTTTGGAGATACTCAACCTGATATTGGCTTGGGTGATCGCGATACTGATATTCCTTTTGTGACATTGTGTAAGGAAGGCTACATTGTTCCATCAAACCCAAAAGTAAAGGCGGTAAGTACAAACAAACTTCCCAAGCCTATTATATTCCATGATGGTCGTCTTATCAAAAAGCCAACACCGCTAATACCTCTTCTCATCATTCTTTGGATCCCCTTCGGCTTCTTCCTATCTTGTTTGCGAGCTTGTGCAGGATTACTCCTCCCTACACCTCTTCAATACTACGCCTCATGGGCCATGGGTGTCCGTCTCATAATCAGAGGCAACCCACCACCCCGTATCAAGAAATCTAAAGATCAATCAGGCGTACTCTTTGTTTGTAGTCACAAGACTCTTTGTGACGCTGTTTTACTCTCTACAGTGTTAGGTCGCCCTATCCCAGCAGTTGCATACTCTCTTTCGCGATTTTCTGAAATCATAGCACCAATTAAAACAATTAGACTCACTAGAGAACGAGGTTCTGATGCATCCATTATAAAACAACTATTAAAAGAAGGTGATCTCACAATTTTCCCAGAAGGGACTACTTGTCGCGAACCATTTCTTCTTAGGTTTTCATCATTATTTGCTGAGTTAACCAATGAGATCGTCCCCGTGGCAATGGTGAATAAGATGAGCATGTTTCATGGTACAACGGCTAGAGGATGGAAATGGATGGACATGTTTTTCAGCTTTCTCATGAATCCACGTCCGACTTATGAAATTACATTCTTGAATAAGTTGTCGTATGAGTTCACTTGCAAGTCAGGTAAATCAAGCCATGAAGTGGCTAACTATGTACAAAAGGTTATCGCGGAAACTCTTTCTTACGAGTGTACTATTTTCACTAGGAAGGATAAGTACATAGCTCTTGCAGGAAACGATGGCACAGTTATGAAGAATAGTTGAATCAAGCTAAAAGTATAATGAAGTTTTTATTTTGATTGATAATCTCTTTCAACAATGATGTGAAAATGTTACTAATATTGTAGAAATAATGAAGGTTGCTTACTCAACTCTACAATTCCATCTTAAAGTTATTATTGTAATTTCAATTTCTGCTTTGGTTGATGATTTGAGTTATCATGTTAAGGTAACTAAAATTATCTATTTTCCCAATTTAAAATTATCTCATCAAAGATAAACAAAAGAGAGAAGTATTTGAAAACACCTTTGAATTTGGTACAAATTATTAAGAGATAAGTGTCAAAAACACACCTAAACTATCCCCTTTTTTTAGTTTCATACCTAAACTATTGAGAGTGTGAGTTTCATACCTAAACTATCACTTTTTAGTTTGAGAAACACGCCTCAGTGGTGTGTGTAATGCACTCTCTTTTATTTGAAAAAACCTTGACACATGGCATTACATGGATAAAATATTCCACCTTGACAAAAATTAAATAATAAACTATTAATATTAATTAAAAATTAAAGATTAAAGTATTAATATCCATAAAAAAAAATTCCCCCCACAAAAAAAAATAATTGATATTATTTTATTTTTTTAAAAATGAAATTTTTACCCCATTCTATTTAACCCTCCACTCCTAACTTTTTTTTTCTACATTTTTCTCATTTTGTGTTAGATATGTACGTACATATATTTTTAGAAAAAAAAATATTCTACTAATGTACCGAATATAACATAAATAAATAAAAAATTAGAAAAAATCTTGTGGTGGCAAGTAAAAAATATTTTCGATATGAATATATCTAACACAAAAATGAGAAAAAAATTTGGAAGCGGAGGGTTAGGTGGGGTGGGCAAAATTATTATTTTTTAAAAATAAAATAATATCTAAATTAGTATTTGAGGGGGAGGGGGAGGAGATGAAGTAAAAAAAATTAAATACTTTTATAAAAGAAATTTAAACAAAAAAAATGGTCGGGGGGTGGGGGGTGTGGTGAGAGGAAGTGATGGAGTGGGGTAAGAAAAATATTTTACATTTTATTTTATTAAATTAATAATATTTTTTTGGATAATATTTTTTTTAATTTTTAATTTTAACTAATACTAACAATTTATTTATTTTTTGTCAAGGTTGAATGTTTTGTCCATGTTGAGTGTGATGTGATAATTTTTTTAAAATAAAAGAGAGAGTGTATTACACACACCATGATGAGAGTGATATAAAAGAGAAATGAGTGTTTCTTAAACTAAGAAGTAATAGTTTAGGTATGAAACTAAAAAAAAAGTATAGTTTAAGTGTGTTTTTGACATTTATTCTCAATTATTAATTATGTCTCCGAATTATTGATTGCTTTAAGAACACCACCTCTCTACTTGACTAACTAAACTTAAATGCAACCCCAATCTTAATAGAGGCGGATCCACACTTTGGAGAGGGGGTGCACGTGCACCCGCTAGCTTCCAAAAAAATCATATGTATATATGTATATCTATTTTGAAAAACTGGTAGAAATTAAGATATAGTTAACAGTGCACCCATGAAAAGCATAGAAGTGCCCTTGTGCTATTGGTACAAGCTAGAGATACCACCCTTGAGACCGGGGTTTGAATCCAACTAAAACCTTTTTTTATTGTTTTTACACTACACCATTTTTGGTCTACGGCCACCCCAGTAAAGTGTAGCCTAAACTAGCAAAAAGTGTGGCCTTTGATAAAAGGCTACACTTTTGGACTTTAAGCAACACTTTTCCAGGGGTCCCCGAAAGTAGCGTTACCTTAGAGTTTAGGCAACACTTTTCATGTGTTGCCTTATCAGCTACGCTTAAAAGCGTAGCCTAAAAGGCAAAATGGCAACGCTTTTATGTACCTCAAATAGCAACATTTCTATTTCATACAATTACACTTTTAAGCGTGGCCTTAGCTTCCTTATTGCCCACAATTTGTTAATTAGCTATGCTTAAAAGCATAGCCTAAAAGGCAAAAAGACCACGCTTTCCAGTACCTCATATAGCAACATTTCTATCTCATACAACTACACTTTTAAGCGTGGCCTTAGCTTCCTTATTGCCCACGATTTGTAAGTGTTGCCTTTTCTATCTAATGTATGACAACACTTTGAAGTGTAGTCCTTGCCCATGTGCATACCACAATTTACAGTCCTATGGCTACACTTTTAAGTGTGGCCATATCATTTTGGCTATAAAATATTTATATGCCACAATTTCTAATTAAAAAACACCAATATTATTTTGCAATAAATAATCTCAAGCATTAGATTGGCTCATAAGTAATTCAAATATATAGATTTGCAATAAACTTCAAAAGATAGTACGTCTTGTGTACTTACACATACTTAAACAACAATATTCTAAATGTGTACACAATTGTTCAAAAAGCACTCTTACAATAGTTCAATATATTCTAGCAAAGAATATATTTCACAAAATCAAACATAATGTATTCAAACTTTTACAATAGTTCAAAAACTCTTCATCAGCCACTTCAATGAGATCAAATTGACTTGTAGCGACCCTTCAAATTTGATCACCTCCATTTCCCTACACATTTAGAATTTACGACAAATCAGATTGCAACAATTATAGAAGAGGCAAAGAGTTCCACATTCCACACTGCACAACAGTTCTGGATTTTAAATTTTTACGGAAAGATGTGGTCCAATTTGTGAAGCTGCACTATTTTTCCAACAACACCCTCATAATCACACAGTTATCAAAAAACAGAGGAGCTGTTAATATTGGTATTGCATTTAATGGGTGGTAATTTCCTTGTATTTCAACTCTCCTTTGACAGGTATGCTCACACTCAACATTAGCATCTTATTTCTACTCTCCTATTTTCTATTCCCCTAACCTAGTTTTTAAAAGTTTTAGTCATTCCTAGTTGAATTTACCAAAAGCATATCATGCACACATGCCATACGCCTCCTTTGGTAATTTTTCTAAGATATAAACTTGAATTTTCTTGTTGATGGCCTAATAGATCTTCATGTTATGAGAGACCAGATGATACTAAGACCAAAGTTTCAGGGAATGCATATCCATTAACTTACCAGAAATCTAGAAGTTACAACTTACAAAAACCTTTCTGGGTTTTTTATTATTTCCTTCCGGAAAATAATGCTTTGGAAGGGACACAAAATGAGTCAGCTGTTTGTTGAGTTGATTTTGAAAAAGACATCAAAAGTAGATGTTTAGCTATATGAATCCTAAATGTTAAAGATAAGCATGGAACCTTATAAAACAACAACTATACATCAATTCAAAACTAGTTGCTTTAGCTATATGAATCCTCAATATCATTTCATTTCAAAACCTGATGGATTTCCAGATTCCAGATTTCCAGTGTGCAACTATAACAGAAAAAGTGCGTAACTTTAACAGAAAACTGTCAATCAAACTGCACCTCCGGATCTTGTCCCGACCATTCTTGCGACTCAAATTCACTACCAGCCCATGGTTTCTAATCAACCAATCTAGAAACCCAACGCAAATGTAGAATTCACATGCTCATCTACTTGGGATCATATTAGAGAGAAAAGAAACAAGCTCACAATTTTGGTCAACAACATTTCAAGTGTTCTGCTGCTATAAACCAGTAAAACACACCATTGATCACAATTTTTTGGCAGGGCACTTTGCTAGAAATAACTAAAATATCACTACTAAGCATGGACTGCCGGATGGTGCCATAACTACACATACAAATCAGCAACCAAATCTACTTTTTCTACTCATAATAACTATAATGATCTTGTTGTGCAAGATCAAACTAACAGCCAACAAGAACAACTAGACAAAGTTGAGGAAAATACAGTTGAGAGGTTCCAGAGGACAGAAAGTGAGAGAAAAGCCTTAAGGAACCAAGAAAATAACCTTTTGAAGAACCAAATCATGAGTTGACCCTGAAGAATGTGGAATATTTTTGCCTCTTACAGTTTGTGCGCTACTTGCATCAACAGGTGAAATATTAGTGTGGCTGTAGACCTAAAATGATGTAGTGTACAATTCTGAAAAGCTGCTAATGAATCAACAAGAAGGCAAAGACACCTTAAAGCTATAAACTTTAAGTGGTAAAGAGAACCAATAAATTTCTATCCAGAATCACATTTTTGAAATTTGTAATCTTTATTTCATTAACCAACCAAATAGAGCAAACCTCATACTCAAGCTGGAAATTTTTTGTTTTCTAATTTTGGCGTAGCAAAGAAAAATGACAGCCATTTCGAGATTAACCTGATTTAAAACAAACTTAAAACGATGAACATATTAATTTTCTCCTGAGGAGGTTTCATCAATCGCAAAATATCAGACAAATAAGTTGTTAATCCAGCTTGTTTGAGTTTACAGTGTACAAGTACTAACCGCTAATTTGTATTTTCTGGAAGAAAGCAACAAAAAATAGAGTTGGCAGCAATCCATTAAAGATTGAAGGATGTGTGGTCAGAAAGAATCCAAAAGCATTAACTGAACAAAGGAACAAACCTTGAGATCAAAATATCAGAGTTAAGCATAGAGGAATCACTGCGAAGAAAACAGGGACAATATGATGGTTCCCATCTGAGAAGCACTCTGACTACCAGGATTATTACTTGAATTCATCATAAAGCCACCATTTGCCTGTGGAATACAAAAGAAAAAGCAAAAATCATAGAGAGATAATAATAATGTAATGAAAGGGCAGGTTGGCGCACTAAGCTTCTGCTATGCACGGTGAAGGGTTGGATCATATGTGGGAACAATTTACCAGTAATGCATAATTTACATATGGTATTGGAAAGTTGCTGCCTATGACCTTTAGATGCTGAAAATTTAAATCAAATTCATGCTAGCAGGTCTTTGTTTTTCACCTTCTATTTACAAAATTAACCAAAAAAAGTAACTAAGCGAGTTGCGGTGAAAATACCGTTTTGAAGAAGATAATGTTGCTTCTCCACAATTAGACATCGGAAGCTGAGTCTGTAGACAGAAATGCAGTACCAATATTCTCATTACAACATTTTCTTTCGACTTGTTACATAATGCAAGGTTGTTTCCACTATTTTCTTTCTGTTAACTCTCCAAAGTCAATGAGATTGATTACTTTTTCAGATTCATCATTGAGGAAATCGCTCCAAAATCAAAATGGTGAAACTCTGGCATAAGAATGCAAAGTAGGGATAGATGGTCGATCTCCTTAACAAGACCATGCCTTCATCCAAGTGTATGATGTCTTTTTCACCTGCAAGTGTAACACTTGTAAAAATAGTTTGCAGAGGTTATAAGCATAGAGGAAGTAACTAACGCAAGTACTTACCGTCATGAAATGGAATGCAGCTCTTACTGCTGATGACCTATGATTACGGAGTAGTTTTCTATTAATTGGATATACATGAAACATCCAGTCATTAGATACAGGTACATAGCAAGTTAATCATATCAACTTCCGATGCAATGTTGAGTCTATATGAAAGCATTATCATGAAATAATCATTATATAATCCGACAATTAAACCAAGATGCTAGCATTTATACAAACTAAATAAGTAAATCATACTACTTACAAAATAATAAATGTAGCATTCACTGTCAGCCTACTCACAGAGTAGAAATTGAAGGATAAAGCATCAACTACAAAAGTACCGAGAGCCAGGACAGCTAGCTGGATTGAGATATATCAAAAGTAAAAACTAATGAAGATGTAAGCAGTAATACAATGTTAAACTATTTTATTGGGTGATACATTTGTAGGTTTTGAAAAAGTCGTTCTGCAGCATATGAAAACTAAAATGGCTTAACAAATTTACATGATATTTAGAAAGTGAAAGTTTAAAACATTTGAGATACCAAGTCCAAAAGTTCCAAAGCATAAGAGATTTGTGTTTTTTCACAACAAATTAGATAAAAAAATCCGTAAGTGCTAATTTTTCAAGTTCAAAATTATTCACTGATGAGAAAATAAATCTTATAACTTTTACCTTAATATACAGGAAACTTGATTTCCATATTTAGAAGATTTCAAGTAAAGATTGTCACCTGCATCACCACTATGACCATTTGAGCTTCCGCCTGTTCTTGATCAGACATAGAACTTTCGATTTTCAACTTGTTAAAATTGTGTGATGCTCTGGTAAAGTCATGGAAACCACCACCACCAGTGTTAGGATTATGAGTGTTGCTAACTGCAGGACATCAAACAATAATTTTTTACATTTACAATTAGTTTATCAAATATATCAAGCCTATTTAAGAATGACAAGAAGATACATCTATAAATTTTCCTGTGTAGAATTTGGCCTATTCAAGAATGACAAGAAACAACATGTATCAATTTATAGTCATAATTGACCGTGGGAAAAAACTGGTTCACGTAAATAGATACCAACATAATCTAATGTTTGTCCCTCTACTTTACTTATAGTCATCGTGAAGCACATATAGGAAATTGTGTTCTTTTAAAAGGAATAGGTATTTTTTCAACCTCTGATGATAGCAATGGTACTCTTGGAATAAAAACATGTTTATCCTTGAAATCACCACTTGCAATTCTACAGCTTATAACATGTGTTTTGAAATCACAGCTTATTGCATAAGCCTTCACAAGGGTTTAAATTTTGCAAAAGTAACTAACAATCTAAAATTTTCAAATCAATACTCAGTTAGAGCAGCAACAAAATACATGTTTTATCGCAACAACTTCTTAACTAAATCAATCAACAAAGAAAATAAAAACAACATTCAGCTGCAAAATTCTCTTTTGTATTCAGATTGCATAACGACAATCACAAGAAGCTCAGCTCAAAAACATAAAAAACTGAATTGTATCGCAACTTCAAGCAACATGAGAAATTGTAGCTATAACTTATAGAACAACCTTGAATTCCTTAAAATACCTACAGAAATAACCTACTATAATCAAGCAACTCGCCTTCAAACTATATACTCAAGTGTAATCCTCACTAACCATATAACTGAACAGTAGCAATAAGATGATTTCAGTTCACTCGAGTAGCCAACATGTCTATAGATATGATTGCACAAGTGTATAACAAATTCGTAACAATGAACACAATTTAATTTTCTGACTGTTCTTCACTAATTACTCCCAAACTCCAAAAAATAAAGAAACAATCAAACCATTTAAAGACAAAAGCATAAAACACCTATAACAATTAGCAAAGTTCATAAAAAAAAGGAACTCAATTACAATACTTAGAAACCAGTAGAACACAAACTGAAAATATTGATTCTTAATTTTAGATTCAATTCTACAAAATTTGAAACAAGTAGAAATAGGAATTACTTAACAAATCATATATATAAATATAATCAAAATAATATTAAAAACTAGAAGAGATTTAACTCGAAGTTCTAATTCTCCTTCAGAAATTCACACTAAGAACAGTTCCTCTTTCACACACACATACACTATCACAGAAGGTTGTGAAGGTGTGAAAATTTCAGAAATTTCTCAAACTTGTGAGAAATACCGAAACCCTACCTGAAACAGAGTTGATGAAGCGAGATCTTCTTCCTCCGAATAAAACTAGTAATGGATGACCCACTTCTCAACGGACTCTTCGCTCAAGACCTTCCGACGATAACCCACACACAACCTCTTCCTTATATGCTGAGAAGAAACCTTGTTTTCTTTCCATTTCCTGAAAAAATCAAAATCCCAACACATTTTTCAACCAAACAAATAGACTTAAGGGTTAGCATGAATGAAATTTCTAGGTCATAAATTGCATTATCACATAAGAGAGGAGAATCTAGAAAGGGCGCTTAGCTGAAGAGATGGAGCAAACTTCTTTGATAATGAAATTTAGGTCTTTGTTTCTAGAAAATGAGGGAGATAAATATTACAGAGGAATTTTATAATTTTAGCCAAAAATGATATTATATCCCATTGTGGTCTTATATTTTAGAAATTGGGGGAAAATTATATGGGGGGAGGGGGACTCGTTATTGCAAAAAATAATTATGAGAATTAATACGACACACTTATAAAGTGTTGTTTTTGGACTTAAAAATATAGCACAATTTAAAGTGTGGCTATATATACAAATAAGTGTTGACAATTGTTCTATGATTTGACAACGCTTATTAAGTGTAACCTATAATTTTAAAGAGCACACTTTCAAAGTGTTGCCAATATTTATGTGGCCAAAAATTCGATATAAAGGTCACGCTTTAAAAGTGTGCTCTTAGATACTTTTTGCAACACTTTTTAAGCGTTCTCTAGAATTAGTGTTGCCATAGGCCAAATTTGGTGTAGTGTTATTTTAAGTTTAGCTTAGAGCTCATATTTGAGCTTAGGTTATATTGGTGCACCAAAAGTCTTCAAATCCTGAGTTCGCCTCTGCCAATCTACCATAGTAAGTGGTCTCAAACTCTTGTAGGAACATGAGACTCTTAATAAAAAGCCGAGATAATTGTTGAAAACTCTCATAAACTTGGTGAGAATTCATGAGTGTATTTCAGTCATGTTGCAAGATTGGGTGTGTTTTTAAGTTCAATTAGTCGAGTAAAGAGGTGTTTTTAAGGCTGTCAATAGTTCGAGGATGAAGCTAATAATTCGCGCCGAGTTTAGAGGTGTTTTCAATACTTCTATCTAAACAAAATAATGAGATTTTTCGATTGTCTCTTTCGATACATAATTAACTTTATTAGTTTAATTAAATGAATTGAAATAAGAGCTCACATTTGCTAATTTCTATCTTTTCGTAGGCTTAACTAACCTACATTAATATTCCGAAGAAACATTAATAATAAGGGTAACTTAATTCAACAATTTGTACCAATTATTAAATGCTAGAGATCTCAATCAATGTAGCTTTACCACGGGCTTAGTGTTATAGCACATAATAGAAGTGGATAAATGTAAGTTTTGAAATTGCATAAAATAGAAAAATAAAGATTACACAGAGAGTAAATTTCAAGCATATTAAAATGGGGATAACAATATTTCCTACTATTGAGAAATGCACTTCGGAAGGTCGAGCAAGAGATACAATAGTTGCTAACTTGGATGGAACTTTACTACGAAGTAAAGCTTCTTTCGCTTATTTCGCATTGGTAGCATTCGATGTTGGTGGGGTCTTAAGGTTACTCTTTCTTCTCTTAGTTTCACCTTTTTTCAGTATTCTTTACTATTTCATCTCGGAGTCTGTTGGACTCCAAGTTATTATCTTTGTAACTTTTGTAGGGATGAAGGTCTCCGATATAGAATCAACAGCACGTGCTGTGCTTCCAAAGTTCTATTCTGAAGACCTTCATCCCGAGTCTTGGAGAGTGTTCTCATCATGTGGGAAACGTTGTGTTTTGACTTCCACCCCTAGGATTATGGTGGAACCATTTTTGAAAGACTACTTAGGGGTAGATATTGTTTTAGGGACTGAGATTGAAACATATAAAGGTAGAGCAACTGGCTTTGTTAGAGCGCCTGGAGTTCTTGTTGGGAAGAACAAGGCTAATGCTCTTAGAAGGATTTTCGGAGAAACTCAACCTGAGATTGGTTTGGGTGATTGCGATACTGATATTCCTTATATGTCATTGTGTAAGGAGAGGTACTATGTACCGCGAAACCCAAGAATAAAGGCTTTATGTATAAACAAAAGTGGCTAACTACGTGCAAAAAGTTATTGCTGAAACTCTTTCTTATGAGTGCACTACATTTACTAGGAAGGATAAGTATATGGCTCTTGCAAGAAACGATGGCACAGTTGTAAAGAATACTTGAATCAAGTTGTATTGGGTTTGTAATTAAAAAATGAGGTTAAAAACTTAAATTTTATATGTAATTTGAATATTTTTTTCTTGCTAAAATTAGGTAATATCTGTTTAAGTAGTTATTTGTAGTACTTTTGCCGTTTAGATCAATTTTTTTTTGGATTTAATCTTTCGAAATTCTCAAGTCCGCCACATTAGAAATCCGTAATTTTGTTAGCACCATAAAATTTTATATAATGTAATTAAATGTGTATATTAAAACTAGTAATATTGAATGATATAACATATAATCAATAGGTTCAATTAATCTCAATACTACTGACACAAAATATGAATCTCTTTTTATATATATAAATTAACAATTTAATAATAAGATCTAAAAATTAAATCGATAAAATTTATATAATAGTATTAAACTTGTGGGTACACAGCGTTTTGATTATGACAAATATTTAGTCAATATGTTGCCAAACAATCTAAGCCGCTCTACTTTAGTCTACCGCTGCCGACTTCTCCAAAGTTTTGGGGAAAAAAACAACTTTAGTTTGGTCATTTGGTTATAAAAATGGGACAGATAAAAGAATATTATATTCTATGAATTGAAATATTTTATAACTTGAGATATTTTATATATGAAGTTAGCTATTTTATTCTCTTTATAGGATAGTTGATTCCATCATTTTATTTTCGTACAAAGTATATCTTGAGATTAATTAGATTAATTAATTTTATCTTGGCTTATTATTTCTTTATCCCATCAACTAAAATGTATTCGAGAACTTATTAATGTTTAGAGAGGTTTTTGTTAAGCTTGTGCACATTATGCCTTTGTGGCTACCTAATTTGGCTCGTTTCCCTTTCAGGTATTATACTTTAGAAAAGAGTCTTAACACCCACATCGTTCGTTTCACGAAATCGATGATGTAAATTAAAGTCTATGGTTTGATGTAATTAGGTGTAATGCGAAAGCTAGCAAAACAAAACTCTCAAAGCCCTAGGACTACATTGTGAATGCTGACTAAGTTATAAGGAACAAACCTCTATTTATAGAGTCCTAAACTGTTTTCTACAAAAAAAAGACTGGTCAACCATAAACCTTTTCCTAAAAGGAAAAAACATAGTTACTGTAAAAAACTCAGGGCAATTAATACCCAACAAATCTCCACCTTGTCCTAAAATTTCTGACAAATTAAATTTGTCTACCTTCTTCACATAATCTTCAGCCGCTTGCATCTCCTCTCCATGATCTCCTTCATCAGATCTATGTCTCGACACAGAGAACCTCTCTGAAACAATTTCTTCAACAAAATCTTCATTACTGTCAAATAAGTTGCGGCTAGAACTACACCCGCCAAGATGAACACCCAATTTTAACTTGATTCAACCATCGATTATCGAACCACTGAACTTGGCTCCATCATTAAACCATTGGACCTGGCTCCATCATTGAACCATCCAACCTGGCTACATCATTGAATGTAGCTCTGATACCACTTGTTAGAACCGAAATAATTAGATGTAATGCGGAAGCTAGCAAAGCAAACCTCAAAAGACCACGAGTAAGAACACAAACGACAAATATACCCAACAGATTTTCCTTTAAAAAATTAGTCTTCTCAGTCAATTTTGACCCGATTTTTGTTAAGGATATAGGCAAATCGATATTACATGATATTGCTTCGACTAACGTACATTTACCTTTAGTGATACTCTCCTATTATATTATCTTTGCTACATCTTTATGTGGATAAGAGATAGTATAATTCTCCCGTTAATTAAAGTAGAGATTTAAAGCAAAAAATGCTAAGCCGACCTCTTATATATCTGCCTAATCCTCTATGATGAATAACTTGTGCCACTTCTCAAATATTCTACATATGTTGAATGTCAATATTTTACTACGTGCTAAACATGTACAAAGTTAATGCACATAAAATAATATTCCAATAAATTTGAAATATGGATAGTCCCTTTTCTTCTTTAAAAAAACATATATAGGTAGGTGCCAAACTTCCTAGCTCTTACAAGAATCATTTTAATTTTGTCAATTACTCTATATATATATATATATATATATATATATATAGATTGTACATATATAGAGTTACAAATTCAGAGATTCTTCTATGCTTTTCCCTTTGAACAACTTACTCAAATTACCTTTTAAATTAAGCTACGAAAAGATGGCGATAACAACGTTTCCGATGGTAGAAAAATGTACATCGATCGATCGAGAGAATGACACAGTTGTAACGGACTTGGATGGAACATTACTACGTGCTAGAAACTCTTTTGCTTATTTCGCGTTGCTAGCTTTCGATGTTGGTGGGGTCTTAAGGTTACTATTTCTTCTCTTAGCTTCACCCATCACGTGGATTCTTTATTATTTCATCTCGGAGTTTGCTGGAATTCAAGTTATTGTCTTTGCTACTTTTGTATGGATGAAGGTTTCCGATGTAGAATCAGCAGCACGACACGTGCTGCCAAAATTCTATTTAGAAGACCTTCATCCCGAGTCTTGGAGAGTGTTCTCATCGTGTGGGAAACGTTGTGTTTTGACTGCCACTCCTAGGATAATGGTGGAACCATTTTTGAAGGACTACTTAGGGACCGATATTGTTTTAGGGACTGAGATTCAAACATATAAAGGTAGAGCAACTGGCTTTGTTAAATCACCCGGAGTTCTTGTTGGGAAGAACAAAGCTGATACTCTTTCAAGCACTTTTGGAGATACTCAACCTGAGATTGGCTTGGGTGATCGCGATACTGACATTCCTTTTATGACATTGTGTAACGAAGGATACTTTGTACCATCAAACCTAAAAGTAAAGGCGGTAAGTACAAAAAAACTTCCCAAGCCTATTATATTCCATGATGGTCGTTTTATCAAAAAGCTAACACCACTTACATCTCTTTTCATCATCATATGGATCCCCTTCGGGTTCCTCCTTGCTTGCTTGCGAATCAGTATAGGAATACTCCTCCCTATACCTCTTCAATACTATGCGTTTTGGGCCACTGGCATTCGTCTCATCATTAATGGAATCCCACCATTACATATCAAGAAATCCAAAGATCAATCAGGCGTACTCTTTGTTTGTTGTCACAAGACGATACTTGACAACATTTTTCTCTCTGCTGCATTGGATCGTCCTATTCCAGTCATTACATACTCTACTTCACAATTTTTTAACATTTTTTCGCGCATTAAAACTATAACACTCACTGGAGATCGAACATCTGATGCTTCCATGATCAAACATTTGTTAAAACAACGCGATCTCACAATTTTCCCTGAGGGGACTACGAATCGTGGACAATTTCTTCTTAGGTTTTCTTCATTATTTGCTGAATTTACCGATGAGATCATGCCTGTGGCAATAGAGAATAAGATGAGCATGTTTCATGGCACAACAACGCGAGGATGGAAATGGATGGATCCATTTTTCTTTATGATGAATCCACGTCCGACTTATGAAATTACATTCTTGAATAAGTTGTCGTATGAGTTCACTTGCAAGTCTGGGAAATCAAGCCATGAAGTTGCTACTTATGTACAAAAGGTTATTGGTGAAACTCTTTCTTATGAGTGTACTACTTTTACCAGGAAGGATAAGTATATGGCTCTTGACACAATTGTGAAGAATCCTTGAATCAAGGCTAAAAGAATAATGGAATTTTTATTTTGATTGTCCCTTTCAATAATGATGCAAAAAGATTTCTTGCCAAAAATATTATAAAGTAATGGATTTAATTAAAAATTCATGTAGATTATACTTATATATATCATGTATCATTTTTATGCGGGATTGAATGTGTAGTAATGCACTTATTTAATGATATAAAGTTTTAAATAACAAAATTATCGTTAGCTTATGTGTACGCAACAACAAACTTAGCCCTAGCTTATGAACTTAAATTAATTTATTTTTTTTACTTTCTTAGATATAAGTCTAAATCTATAGATGCGTGTCAGAGGATAGTGAAGGTAAATTGCTCCACATGGAAGCTCAACCCACAATTGAACATTTGCCAAGTGGCGGCGCCAAATTTCAAAGCCTGTGTGGACAAGCTGGGGCTACAACAATTTTATAACAAGGGTGTGTTTCGCTGTGATAGTTTAAATAGGAAACTCACAATATATATCAATAGTTCAGTTTGAATTACAACAAAGTAGAATAGTTTAAATATGTTTTTGACTGTTAATTCTAGAAAGTAATAAGGACATTTAAAGGACCTATTAAAAAATGGAGTAGGTGCTAATCTACTACCTTCATTAGTAGGTTAGCAAATTAATTTGTGGGGGCACAACGTGTAAAGTGTTAATTAAGGAAAACATATAGTCAAATATGCTGCCAAACAATCTAAGCCTCTCCGTCTAATTTTTAGGTTACAAACAAGCTACGTTTTAGCAGTGAGGAAATTCATGATTCGGTTATCATATAATAACTTATCTTAATATCCTCCGTTATACGTTAAGATCGTAGGCTTAACTAACCTTTCTTATATTGTTGCTTCATAAAATTTTCCAAAGAAGAATTATATATTAATAAGGGTAAACTTAAAGGACATTCTTCTTAGAGACAAATATGGGCATAAAAATATTTCCCACTGTAGAGAATTGCACAACAGAAGGACGAGAAAAAGAAACAGTAGTAGCTGACTTGGATGGAACTTTACTAAGAAGTCGAAGCTCTTTTGCTTATTTCGTGTTGGTAGCATTCGATGTTTGTGGGGTCTTAAGGTTACTATTTCTTCTCTTAGCTTCACCCCTCGCGGGGTTTCTTTATTATTTCATCTCAGAGTCTGTTGGAATTCAACTGCTTATATTTGTAACATTTGTAGGGATGAAAGTTTCCGATATAGAATCAGCAGCACGTGCTGTACTGCCAAAATTCTATTCTGAAGACCTTCATCCTGAGTCATGGAAAGTGTTCTCATCGTGTGGGAAACGTTGTGTTTTGACAGCCAACCCTAGGATTATGGGGGAACCTTTTTTGAAAGACTACTTAGGGGTAGATATTATTTTAGGGACGGAGATTGAAACATATAAAGGTAGAGCAACTAGCTTTGTTAGATTGCCAGGAGTTCTTGTTGGGAAGAAAAAGGCTGATGCTCTTAAAAGGACTTTCGGAGAAACTTAACCTGAGATTGGATTGGGTGATCGCGATACTGATATTCCTTTTGTGACATTGTGTAAGGAAGGCTACTTTGTTCCATCAAACCCAAAAGTGAAGGTGGTAAGTTCAAACAAACTTCCCAAGCCTATTATATTCCATGATGGTCGTCTTATCAAAAAGCCAACACCACTTATGTCTCTTCTCATCATTCTTTGGATGCCATTCGGCATTCTCCTTGCCTGTTTGAGGATGACCCTCAGATCACTCCTCCCTATCCCTCTTCAATACTATGCATTTCGGGTCTTTGGCATTCGTCTTACCATTAAAGGCATCCCACCACCCCCTATAATGAAATCCGAAGAGAAAACAGGTATACTCTTCATTTGTAACCACAAGACACTTCTTGACCCATTTTTTCTCTCTATAGCTCTAGGTCGCCCTGTCCCAGCTGTTACATACTCTCTTTCAAGACTATCTGAGATATTTTCACCTATTAAAACAATTAGACTCACTCGTGATCGAGTATCTGATGCTTCCATGATCAAGAAATTGTTAACAAAAGGTGATCTTGCAATATGTCCAGAGGGGACTACTTGTCGCGAACCATTTCCTCTTAGGTTTTCATCATTATTTGCTGAGTTAACAGACGATATTGTGCCAGTAGCAATAACAAATAAGACGACCATATTCCATCCCACAACGGCAAGAGGGTGGAAATGGATGGACCTGATTTACTTTTGTATGGACCCTAGTCCGATTTATGAAGTTACATTCTTGAACAAGTTGTCCCCGGAGCTCACTTGCAAGTTTGGGAAGCCAAGTCATGAAGTTGCTAACTACATACAAATGGCTATTGCGACAACTCTTTCTTATGAATGCACTAATTTTACCAGGAAGGATAAGTATCGCGCTCTTGTTGGAAATGATGGCATGGTAGTGTAGAAGGGATGACCTATATATCAACGCGAAAATTATGATTTGAGATTTCAAATTATGCTTAACTTTTTAACTTCTGATTTTTTTTTCTTTCAAGAATATGGCATCGTATGACAAGTTGGTTCACTAAATGGCATAAAACATGAGTTAAGTCGAGCACCCCTAGGTTACGTGCTGAAAATGATGCTAGTTTGATTTATTTTTTTAAAAATAAAATAAAAATGATGTCAATGTAAATTAAATCTATACAATATTTAAGATAAAATTACTAAGTTCACGTTAACTCAGTACTTTAAGGCTAGATCCGCCCCCTGCTCCTCAGAGTTTCAAAGTTTCAAAAATACTTTCATCCTTGCTTCAATATTGATAGGGTCATTTAGTTGCATTTACAATATATAGAGTATAAGGGCTTTTATGACAACTTTTAGTATCAACTTATTTTGTCATCACAATATGTGATGAATCAGTGGCGACGAAAAACTGTTGCCGCAAAATATATAGTTTTAGCTATGACCCTTAAAATCACCACAAAAATTAACATATTAGTGGAGATTTTAACACTGTCACTGCAAATAATCCTACTAAAATATGGTTAAAAGTTTAATTTGCTGCGACGAAGAAATTGTCATTAGAAAAGGTGTTTTGCTAGAGTCTATATTATGCAATAATCTCACTCTAAGTTAAATTTCTTGTAGTGCATAATACCACTCTTCGTAAGAAAAATAAAATAAAATTTGGACATAATTATTACTATTTTTGAAAATTCAAATGCATAATAAGTGTTACTACAATCATCATAGTTAGATTGTTTAGGGTGAAAATTATTTATACTTATCAACCTTGCATTAAAAATCAACGTTGAATAATAAATATTTATGTTTATATACTAACTGTATTTATGTTTCATTTTTTTGGAAATGACCCACTTTTTAGATTAGATAAAATATCTTAGTTTACTTGAGCTTTAAAATTTAATTAATGATGTGAGATTAAAGTTCAAATCTTGAACATAATTTTTTTTTTTTTTGTATTATATTATTTCTCAAAGGAGGCATGTACATGATTATATAACTACTACTAAGTTACAATATATGGAAAGAATTAATATCTTCCTATTTTACAAAGATTACTAGAATCGAGTTCCTATTGTTTACATTCCTACTCTATTCAAATAGGGCGAAACATCGCGATGACTCAAAAAATAATCAATTAATTCGATTTTGAAAGAATTTAAAGAATAAACGAATTTTAGAAGGAGTCGTCACCTAATTTTAGGAAAAAACTAGGAAACCATTAAGTGATCTACGAAATCAAGATTCTAGGTAAGGGGTTCAAGTTATTTCGAAGGGAAGGTGTTAGGCATCCTTCGAAATCCACAACTGTGGATCCCGACTGGATTCATTTTTTCAAATTGAGGAGGAGGTAAAAATAATATACAAATATAACAAACATGCAATATACACAAGTAATAAAGTAAACAAGTAATATGAGAAACGACCTAATATTTGCCTATCGTCATCAATATACATAATAATTAATATAATATTCGAACTTTATTCAAATGGCTTCGATGAGAAGCGACTTCGGGGTACCTGTAAAGACACTTAGTAAAAGTGTTAGTACTAAATATATATGAATAAAAATAAATGAATCAAATAATAACTTAAAAATAAAAACCCGTCTTATTAACATAGGAGGCCTTGAAAATCGACGATAATTTCTTCATCGGCAATTTTGAACAAACAAAATATATGAACTTAAACTGAATTTCCGTCTTTTACAATGTAAAGGCCTCCAAAACTGACGGAGAGATTTTCTCATTGGCCAATTTAACTTGTTTAATCTCTATTTTATATGAATTACAATAACAATGAAAATACCAAAGACTACTTCAAGAAAATATGGAAGCAACGATATTTAATAATTAATGAGCAACCAACAAGATCAAATTAATGTATAACTATTCTAGGATGAAAACGATAATAGCATAGTAATAAAAGAAAGTTTAAGCACATGAAAATAATTGCAACAGTGGTTTATCAAAATCAAGACAATCAATACATTATTATAAATAATGATAAGAACGATAAATAAATAATAATTAAAAAAATAGCATTTCAAGAAAATAAACAAAAAACAAACAATTCACAATATAACAAGCATAAAAATATTAATTATAGGACTTAATCAATCCGATCAACAATAGCAAGTATGAGAAATATAAATACTATAAAGATGCTTCAATATTCATATATTTAGCATATAACAAAACAAGATATAATAGCAACTAAAAATTAACTGACCAAAAAATGGAGTTCACCGGAGCATGGAATTTTCCGGCTAGATCTGGAATATTACTAATAACAATATATAATCTACCACAAAATAACAAGAAATTAGAGATGATCACTGTCAGATGTAACCCAATAACACAAAAATATAAAGAAAAATCATCAAGGTCTAAACTATTTAACAATGAGAAAATAAAAAGAAAAAAGGTGGAAAGAGGGACTGACAGTCAGTTGTTCATAGTGTCTCGGTGGTTTGGAGCTTCAAACTCTATTTCACCGGAAACGAGGTGGAAAGGGGTTGTTTTT